GAAATTGATGCAATTATCTTTTCATTTAAATACTGAAAAATTTCACAATCATATCCATTAATGTTTGTGAGTGCATTTTATTATTTCCATCATTCAATTTCAGACACTTGAGATTAAATTTTATTTTAATTATTTTAAGATTTTAAGCAAGAAATAAAACAAATTCAATATATTTAGTCATAAGCCAGAGCTCATTCTGGAACTTTGCAGTGCACAAATTATCCGGTGATGTTCCCAACATGGTAGAAGTGTGCACTTCAAAAGAATTTCATTGGCTGTGTATCAGTTGTGGATCTTACATGGTCATGAAAGATGTTATAGAAATTCAGATTATTAGAATGTGGCTATTTTTTCAATGTACAAATTATCACAAAATATGTTTCATAAATAATTTCAATGGAAGCCCAACTATAAAAATAAAGTTCAGTTAAGTTTGTGAATTTATTAGCCTATGTTGTAAAAATATGACAACAATTATAAATCTTGATTTTACATATAATTTAATAAAATGTGATCTTGTACTTGCTCTCCTTAAAGTGAGAGAATTATCCTGAGACAATATGTGCACAGCGTACTCATTTTGTAGCAATTATATTGCTTTAAAAAGTTGCAGTGTTGTCTTTTATGGTGGTAAATTGGTAGTTGTGTTCTCATTTGATAATACTCCTACTGACATTAGATAAACCAAAGGACTTGCCTTTTCATCATGTTAGGTTAAATGTGAAATTTCTTTGGAATGATCTGCAATTCTGTATACAATGACATACTTGGTGATAGAAACGATAATAACTTAATTCCTTTCTTGATCCTTGCTGTCTCTGCACTGACTGCTCCAATCTGACCTTGCTCAGCATCTGATGACCTGTTCTGTTGCTGTCAGTTGCTTGGAAGACTGCTGCTGTTGCAAGTGGCCCTAAGGGGTGCCCAAGAACTACTGGTCCACTGACCCATAACAACAAGGGATTTAGATCAGAGCCACTTGCTTTTGACATGGCTGCACAGGGCCATTGCACATAATAGCCATCAGACTGCCCTGTATTTTTCTGCTTGTTAAAAGGCATGTGGTTTGTGCTTGTTAAGAGCCAGACAAATTTTACATGAAGCACTTGCCGTGATTTTCAGATACATGTATTATCCCTATTTTGTTTGACAGTGACAAAATAGCTTACAGCCTACTTGTTTTAACCAGTAATAATAATGTTGCAATTAATGAATATGAGGTTACCACAACTTAATTGAGAACTGTAAAGGTGAAGAGCTTTGACCTGAGAGATAAAAGGAGAGAAGAGAGGAAGCAATTCTGAAAGTAATTTTTGACTTTGTTGTAAATTCACAATATACACTTGAAAAGCTTTAAACATCTCTGTTGATTTTCATTTCCACCAAAAGTCAAAATTACTCTCTCTCCATACTACATCCATATTTACTCAATAACAGCTGCTCATATGTGCACATTTTAGCTCATGCAAAGAGGAATCATCTTGTAGCATTCAATGATTGGACCTGAAATAAAATATTATTGGAAACTGCAGAGAGGAGACAATTTAATGGTTTAACTCAGTTGAAATATGATATCAAGCAGTTCAATCTTTCTATAAATATGACAAGTCATAAAAATATGATGCAGGTCCATAACTATGAAAAGATGTTGTGTTCTTCTTAGTAATTTGATGACTACTGACAAAATGGCCTTATTAGAGATAGCAGCTGTACCACCAGAGTATCTTTAAGTTCTCCCACTTTGATTTAGAACCCTTTGAGTATTGCGTATAAAACGTGAATTATATTTTTATCCTTTACTTCCAAAATCCCACATATTTGAAGGGATGGATCTATCGATCCAAGTGCTGTATGTTTTCTCTTTGTCCTTAAACTTAAACTGGAAACAAAAACTCATCTATAGTATAAGTCAGTTTTTGAATCATTATTTCAAATTTAAAAGCAGTAGAACATGCTTATATCAGCAAGGTTTTTCTTTATTTATTTTTAATTATCAGCTTGCTTAGTGATGACACTTTCAGCTCTGGTTCAGAAAGTAATGAGCTCAAGTGCTTCTATCTGTATTGACTGTAAGGACTGCTGTATTGTTGGATGTGCAATCTTTCAGAAGAGATGATAAACCACGGTGATGTAAGAGATTAAATAGTATTTTCAGTATTATGGAATTTTTCTGCAAACATTTATCATTTGACCGACATGAATTAGTTGGTCATTTATCTAACTTGCTGCTTGCACAAAATGCTTTAAGAAATCCTAAGCACATGAAAGATGCTGTATACATGCAAGTCTTTTTCATTCTAATAAGCAATGGTTAGTTAGCTTCTTATTACCATTTTATGTAAACATCCACATAAGAAGCAAGAGGAGGCCATTCAGCCCCCTGAGCATCCTCTGCCATTCAATTACATGTTGGCTGATAAGATTGTAACCACAAATCTGCATCCCCACCTACATTGAGTTTTACATGCATTTACTTAACAAGACTGTCTTTTTTTATTCACTCATTGGATGAGGGCATCACTGGCTAGGCCAGCATTTATTATCCATCCTTAATTGCCCAGAGGGCAGTTAAGAGTCAACCGCGTTGCTGTGGTCTGGAGTCACATGTTGGCCAGACCAGGTAAGGATGGCAGTTTCCTTCCCTAATGGACATTAATGAACCAGATGGGTTTTTCCAACAGTCAACAATAGATTCTCAATTTCAGATTTGTGTTGAATTCAGATTTCACTATCTGCCATGACAGGATTTGAACCTGGATCCCTGGATTAATTGCCTCCCCCTCTGCTTTAAAAATATTCAAGGATTTTGCTTTCACCACCTTTTCAGAAAGAATTGCTTCAAACATGCATGAGCCTCTGAAAGGAAAATGTTTATCTCTATTTAAGTAGTGATCCCTGTTTCTAGATTCTCCCACAAGACGAAACATCTACTCTGCCAAGATTCCTCAGGAGATGTTTCAGTCGAGTCACATCTTATTCTTCTAAACTCTAGCAGAAAAAGCCTAGCCTGCCCAACCTTTCCTCTCATTCCAGGCAATCCACTCATGCCAGGTGGTATTCTGGTAAATTTTCACTGAATTGCTTCTGATTACACCCTTCTTTAAATGAGGTGATCAATACTGTCTAAATATTCTAGACGTAGTCATAATGGTGCCCTGTATAACTGTAGTATAATTTTCTTCCTTTTGTTTTCAGTTCCCCTTGTGATAAATGAGAATATTCTATTAGCTTTCCTAATTACTTGCTGTACCTGCGTACTAACATTTTGTTATTCATAGGTTAGGACACCCAGACCCCACTCCATCCCAGAATTCTTGAGTGTCTCACCATTTAGATAATATGAGTCATCGAGTCATACAGCATGGAAACAGATCCTTTGGTCCAACTCGTCCGTGCCGACCAGATATCCTAAACCAATCCAGTCCCATTTGTCAGCGTTTGACCCTCTAAACCCTGCCTATTCCTGGATGTACCCATCCAGGTGCCTTTTAAATCTTGTAATTGTACCTGTTTCCACCACCTCCTCTGGCAGCTCGTACCACCCACGCATTACCCTGTGTGTGAAAAAGTTACCCCTCAGGTCCCTTTTTAAATCTTTCCCCTCTCACCTTAAACCTATTCGCTTTAGTTTTGGACACCTCTACCCTGTGGAAAAGACCTTGGCTATTCACTCTATTCATGCTCCTCATGATTTTATAAACCTCTATAAGATCATCCCTCAGCCTTCCACCTTCCAGGGATAAAAGCTCCAGCCTATTCAGCCGCTCCCGACCACTCCAACCCTCCAATCCCAGCAACATCCTTGTAAATCTTTTCTGAACCCTTTCAAGTTTCACAATATCCTTCCCATAGCAGAGAGACCAGAATTGAACACAGTATTCTAAAAGCGGCCTCACCAATGTACAGTACAGTCGTAACGTGACCTCCCAACTCCTATACTCAGTGCACTGTCTAATGAAGGCAAGCTTGCCAAACGCCTTCTCCACCACCCTTTCTACCTGCAACTCCACTTACAAGGAACTATGCACCTGCACTCCTAGATCTCTTTGTTCGGCAACACTCCCCATTCTGAAGGAAGTGTCACCAGATCTGAAACATTGTCTGCTTTCTGTCTATAGATGCTGCCAGACCTATTGAGTTTCTCCAATTTCTGTTTTTGTTTCAGATTTCCAGCATCCACAGTTCTTTGTTTTTTTTTATTCTTCCTGCTCAAATGGATATTTCACATTTTCCCACATTTTACTCTGTTTGCCATTTCTTTGCCCACTCACTTAACCTTTCTATGTGTGTTTGTAGCTGCATTATGTCCTTCACAAGTTTAGTGCCCAAGTTTGTGCCATTAGCACGTTTGGCAACCATACACCCATCCCTTCATCCAAGTCATTTGTGTAAATATAAACGGTTGAGGTCCCAGCTCTGAGCCACGTGGAACACCATTTGTTGTATTTTGCCAACTTGAAAAATACGTACTTCTTTCTACACTCTGCTTCCTGTTATCCAGCCAATTTCTATCCCTGCCAATATGCTAGCCCCTACATCATGCACTTTAATCTTCCACAATAACCTTTAATGTGGCACTTCATCAAATGCTTCCTAAAAATCTAAGTGCAATATATCAAGCTGTTCCCTTTATCCACAGCACATTCCTGTGAACTCTGTTCATTGTTGGAATTGTTATAAATGTATTGCCATTGAACAGCACTGATATTACAGATATTTTCAAAGAATGTTTTTTAAGCAGTTGAGATCTATTGAACTGAAGTCAATCTTACAATAACAGTAATATGTAAATTTCTTCAGTGTTTAAAAACAAATTTACATTGGCTAACAATTTTGATTGTACCTAGCAAGTTAAAATATCATCTTAATAGAATAGTTGGTGCATTACTTAACTTCAAATGTGCCTTTTTTTTTAATGGTTAGTTTGATTATGATGGTGGAGACTCTAACTGTTAAGCTTATGTTTTAATAACATGTTTATTCATTTATTTCTTAAACAGGAACTGATTCCTGAATTTTATTATCTCCCTGAGATGTTTGTCAATTCCAACAATTATAATTTGGGTGTGATGGATGATGGAACTGTAGTGTCTGATGTAGAGCTTCCACTCTGGGCCAAAACCCCGGAAGAGTTTGTTCGCATAAACAGACTGGTAAGAGATTTGTTTTTAATGTCTATCCTGCAGATGACCTTTGCTGATAGAAGCTGGTTTGCCATATGAATTAACAAACATTTACAAAAATTGTTGTATTTAATGGTTATTTTGAATTTCATCTATCAGCTATGGAGATAAACACTCAAAGGAAAAGTTGAGATTTAGATTAAAAGCAGAGCGTTTTATTCTTGTATGGATCAATTGGTTCTATTATCCAGTTGCAAACAAAGTAAAATATATAAGAGCTTCTTGTGGCTGGATATCCTGATGAAGGCAATTAATTGTTCTTTAATTTACATATTTTACATATTGAAAATTCCAATTAATTGGTGTACATAACCCATCCTTAGGTGTAATTCCAGCATTTAAACCACCTGGAAGCATTATCATGCTTGTTGAGCTACCTTGTTGTTCTTATTGACTTGGCTGAATAAATGTAAAATCTGGGGAATTTCTACTCATAACATCATATTTTATTGCCTGTATTCTATTTTACATAGTTAGTGTGGGGATTTGAGATGAAAAATAAAGGACAGGCTTTTGAACCACAAATGGTTAAACAGGGGTGAGCTGGAGTAAAATTCCACATTGCCAATCTGTTTGCATGCCAATCTGTTGGCAACTTCCTTTTGGGTCAACTTTCTGAGAGAGTGGATTAGAGGCCTTTGGGTTATCTCTTTGCATGTGGTAGAAAGCCAAATGAAAATACTTAATGGCCTGTTGTCAGGGGTCAGTTGGAAAGTTCTGGTTGGCTTGCATGCCAGTAGAGATTTTGGGGATGAGACCATCTGAAAGCAGTCAAACACCTTGTACCACCAGTGGCCTAGCATTCAAGCCAGGCTTTGAGGCCCTTGCTGCCTACCTGATGTCAGCTATGCTCATAAACTGTGTGAAATTGTCCAATATACAAGAGTGGCCTGTCTCTAATGAGGCTATTTGCTAATATAAAAGTTTTAGAATATATAGAGGTGCCCTAAAATTGTGACACCCCTCTCTCTCTTTTACCTGAACTTATCTTCTAAGCTGGAGAACAACCTATTGACTTTCCAGCTTCAAAAACCTGTACTCAGTCCTTAATTGGAAGGTAAACCTGTCCTCTGGCTACTAATTGGTCATTTCAAGAAAGAACAAATCTTGGGGGCTGGTTCTCTCACAGTGTGGAGTTGTGATACCATTTGATCCTTATGCTGGGGTCCAAACCAAAAGACATATCCTGCACAAAATGTTCAACTACCTCCCCAGTTGAGATACCTGTTCTGCAGGGTAGATGCTGAAGAAAACAGGTACGTATGGATGTGTTGTCGTAAATACTTGTTTTGGAGAGGTTCTATATATCATTAGACTCATCCCTTCTACCTGATATAGCATCGCTGATCTCATTTATTATCCCAATCCTTAACTTGATTCAACAACAGATAGAATAGTCAGAAATCATGTTTTAAACATTATTTTTTCATGGGATGTGGGTATCATTGGCAAACCAGCATTTGTTTTCCATCCCTAATTGCCCTTTGACGGCATTTAAGAGTCAACTGCTTCACTGTATCTGGAGTCCCACATAAACTAGACCAAGTAATGACGGTAAATATCTGTCCCTAAAGGATATGAATGAATTAAATAGATTTTTATGACAATCATTGATTGTTTCATTGTCACTTGTCCTCAGAGCATGCCAGGTCTTTTAATTATCAGTCCAGTGACATTACCACTATGCCTCCAAGTTTAAACCAGGAAGATTTTTGAGGCATTGAAAAAAACATTTACCTCATAAATATTGTAAAATACTATTTGTTTGTTGTTTACTTGGCTTTTCTCCCTAGTTTTTTTTAATGCAGTGTGTTAAGCTGATGTATTTAATTTGTTAGATTTAGTTTCAGTCATAATGAATGACCTGCAGTAGTCTTTTCGTGCCGTCAATCTGTATATAGAAATAAATTAGTTTCTAATTTCCCATGGATGAAGTGAACATGTTAAAAAAAAACTCCGTTAATCTTTTGAGGAAAATAAACTCAAATTTATGCAGTAAGTCCTCCCTTTGAGGGGTAGAAGAGTTGCAACTATTTAAATGACAGGAAAATATTGCTTCATTTAGCTAAGTAAATGCATACTTTTTAGGTATCTCATAATTTAGTTTTCGCTAAAGGAAATAGTTTAAACTAAAATAATTAAGAATGGGTAAGTAATCCAGAGGATGTGAAAATAATTCAAGTTTATTTTCACGCTCTTCCCCACATGGGGAAACAGTGACATAGTGGAAATGTCATTGGACTAGTAATCCAAAGGCCCAGGCTAATGTTTTTGAGAGCATGGATACTAATCCAGCTGTGACAAATAATAAATCTGGAATACAAAGCCAGTCTCTTGAATGGCAACCATGGTGACTATCATTGATTATTATGAAAATTCATCTAATTCACAACTGTCTTTTCGGAAAGGAAATCTGCTATACTTACCTGGTCTGATCTACGTGTGATTTCATATCCATGGAAGTAAAGTTGACTCTTAAATGCCCTCTGAAATGGTGTAGCAAGTGACTAGTTTAAGGCGAAAGGCAATAACTGCTGGCCTTGCCAGCAACACCGACATCCCATGAAAGATTAAGAAGAAAAAGAAAAAATAAAAGTAGATATTTTTTCATACAAAGAAACCAACCTATTTGCGACAGTAAAATTAGCTATGAGTTTTGTTGTAATAAAGTTTAGTGATCAAACTTATTCCTTAAGCTACAATTCTGAATTAGTGAATATGGACATGATTTTTAATTTCTTACATAGTCAGACATTAACAGTTTTGATTTTATGAACCAAACTTGAGAGAGTGTTTAAGCATAGACCAAAATGAAGAAATACCATCTGGCACACATTAGATTTCTCTGCCATGGGTCCAAAAGTATCAGGTGATATAATTTATTGTAGGCTGTCATATGAAGGTGTAGGGGCAAGTGAGTATTTTGGAGCTTTTATTTGGTTACCATTGGGGTTGAATGTTTTTAAATGTGACCTTATCACAGGTACGGGGATAGGGCAGGGGGGTGTGTCTGGGTAGGATGTTCTTCGGAGAGTCAGTGTGGACTTGTTGGTCCAAATGGCCTGTTTCTGCACTGTAGAGATTCTATGATTCCATGTAGGTGAATGATGAGATTTGCGGTAGTGTAAATCACACTGAGTGGAAGGAGAAGCATGATGGCTAGATGTTCAGTTCTGCTCTAGAACCCAGAATCCTGGTGAGAATATTTCTAACTAAGTCACAGCTCAGACAGCAGATTCATTCAGTCTCTCCCCTACACATTAGTATGCAGTTCTATTCTCATGCATGCTCTTCCTTTCGCTCTTCTTTGCACAAAGGAAAACTCTCACTCCTTGTGTGTGGAGGTGCTGGTGTTGGACTGGGATGGACAAGGTCAGAAATCACATGACACCAGGTCGTTGTCCAACAGGTTTATTTGAAAACACAAGCTTTCGAAGTCTTACTATCTCTCTCACTAACACCTGAAGAACGAGTATCAGATACAGAATTTATAAGAAAATGATCAAAGGGTCACACTACTGATGAGGATGCACTAAAGAAAACTAGGATGCTGTTAAATCTTTAATCAGTTAGAAGGTTTTAAATGATTAATATGTATATGTAAATCCCTGGGTTCCTTTGAAGTTACTCTCTTGAGAGAACTAAAGATTTTATCAATGTAAAGAAGAGGTGACATTTTAGGTCAGACAATGCATATTAGGAATGAGGCCGTGTTTTGGTTTGGAGTCAGACTGATTTTATTTGTAAAGTAGGAATTTATAAAACTCCAGCGTGCTCGCGCACGCACACGCACACACACTGTCTCTCTCTCTCTCCCCCACACACGCGCGCGCGCACACACACACACGCACACACTCATGCAATCTCTCTCCCACACACACGTGCTCTTTCTCTCCCACACACACGTGCTCTTTCTCTCCCACACACGTGCTCTTTCTCTCCCAC